CAGGCCTGCTCGTGGTACAGTCTCTAAATGTACTAGGGAGGTAAAGCCTTCAGTTATCAGGCCTGCTCGTGGTACCTATGGTCTCTAAATGTACTATGGGAGGTAGAGCCTTCAGTTATCAGGCCTGCTCGTGGTACAGTTCTAAATGTACTATGGGAGGTAGAGCCTTCAGTTTAGGCCTGCTCGTGGTACAGTCTCTAAATGTACTATGGGAGGTAGAGCCTTCAGTTATCAGGCCTGCTCGTGGTACAGTCTCTAAATGTACTATGGGAGGTAGAGCCTTCAGTTATCAGGCCTGCTCGTGGTACCTATGTCTCTAAATGTACTATGGGAGGTAGAGCCTTCAGTTATCAGGCCTGCTCGTGGTACTACGGTCTCTAAATGTACTATGGGAGGTAGAGCCTTCAGTTATCAGGCCTGCTCGTGGTACAGTCTCTAAATGTACTATGGGAGGTAGAGCCTTCAGTTATCAGACCTGCTCGTGGTACCTACGGTCTCTAAATGTACTATGGGAGGTAGAGCCTTCAGTTATCAGGCCTGCTCGTGGTACCTACGGTCTCTAAATGTACTATGGGAGGTAGAGCCTTCAGTTATCAGGCCTGCTCGTGGTACCTACGGTCTCTAAATGTACTATGGGAGGTAGAGCCTTCAGTTATCAGGCCTGCTCGTGGTACCTACGGTCTCTAAATGTACTATGGGAGGTAGAGCCTTCAGTTATCAGGCCTGCTCGTGGTACCTACGGTCTCTAATGTACTATGGGAGGTAGAGCCTTCAGTTATCAGGCCTGCTCGTGGTACCTACGGTTCTAAATGTACTATGGAGGTAGAGCCTTCCTTCAGTTTATCAGGCCCTCCTCTCTTCAGGGTCTGAGAGGCAGACACACACTGTACCTTTAAGAGTAGTTTAAAACATTCCTTTTTGTATGTGTATGAAACATTTATTGATTGGTTCTGACCTCCTTCCCGGTGCTGATGCAGCCATTGATTTCGCTGATGATTCCTCGACTCAGCATCTTGAAGAGAATCATTCGAGTGCGTGGATCTAAAACCTGCAGAAGAAGAAAGACGATCGCCTGAATCAAAGAATCAATCATCGACCAATAACTCATGAAACACATGTTAATCATTTAATGATCACATGATTGATCAGGTGATAAATATATACTTCTTTGTGTTTTATTTTCTACACCCTGCTGTTCACTTCCTGTAAGGCTCTTTCTAAATAAAAGCATTTTAATGCTCACCTGTTCCACTGTGGCTCGATCTGATTTGTCCTTCACTCTGTACCTGCAGAGAGCAGCCAATCAGAGCGTTAGAAACATGTCAGCTGACCTGTGGAATAGCTCGGAAGTGAGTTCATACGTACGTGTCGGAATCTTTCTGTTTCTGCATCGTCGTCACTTTATTAATCACTGAGTCAGCATAATTCAGCTTATCTGAAACAACAACCAATCAATACGCTCGGTTATCAGAAGAAACACCAGCCCATCGTTCTGTCAAACACACCTGCGAGCAGCTCTGTGTGTGTGTGTGTGTGAGCAGCTGTGTGTGTGTGTGTGTGTGTGTACGTCTGAGCAGCTCTGTGTGTGTATGCGTGAGCAGCTCTGTGTGTGTGTGTGTGTGTGTGTGTGTGTGTGTGTGTGTGTGTGTGAGCAGCTCTGTGTGTATGTGTGTGTGTGTGTGTGTGTGAGAGCAGCTCTGTGTGCATGTGTGTGTGTGTGTGTGTGTGAGAGCAGCTGTGTGTGTGTGTATGTCTGAGCAGCTGTGTGTGTGTGTGTGTGAGCAGCTGTGTGTGTGTGTATGTCTGAGCAGCTCTGTGTGTTATGTGTGAGCAGCTCTGTGTGTGTGTGTGTGTGTGTGAGAGCAGCTCTGTGTGTGTGTGAGCAGCTCTGTGTGTGTGTGTGTGAGCAGCTCTGTGTGTGTGTGTGTGTGTGTGTGTGAGCAGCTGTGTGTGTGTGTGTGTGTGTGTGTGTGTGTGAGAGCAGCTCTGTGTGTGTGTGTATGTCTGAGCAGCTTGTGTGTGTGTGTGTGAGCAGCTGTGTGTGTGTGTGTGTGAGCAGCTGTGTGTGTGTGTATGTGTGAGCAGCTCTGTGTGTGTGTGTGTGTGTGTGAGAGCAGCTCTGTGTGTGTGTGTGTGTGTGTGAGCAGCTCTGTGTGTGTGTGTGTGTGAGCAGCTCTGTGTGTGTGTGTGTGTGTGTGTGAGCAGCTGTGTGTGTGTGTGTGTGTGTGCAGCTGTGTGTGTGTGTGTGTGTGTGTGTGTACGTGTGAGCAGCTCTGTGTGTGTATGCGTGAGCAGCTGTGTGTGTGTGTGTGTGTGTGTGTGTGTGAGCAGCTCTGTGTGTATGTGTGTGTGTGTGTGTGAGAGCAGCTCTGTGTGTTGTGTGTGTGTATGTCTGAGCAGCTGTGTGTGTGTGTGTGTGTGAGCAGCTGTGTGGTGTGTATGTCTGAGCAGCTCTGTGTGTGTATGTGTGAGCAGCTCTGTGTTGTGTGTGTGTGTGTGTGTGAGAGCAGCTCTGTGTGTGTGTGTGTGAGAGCAGCTCTGTGTGTGTGTGTGTGTGTGTGTGTGTGTGAGCAGCTCTGTGTGTGTGTGTGTGTGTGTGTGTGTGTGTGTGTGTGTGTGTGTGTGTGTTACCCAGGTTGATCTTGTGTTCATACTTCCTCAGAGCTTTATCAGACGGAGTGGACGGCAGCATCTTATTGGAGGGATTCTGTCTGTTGGACTGACCAATAAGAAGAGAGATCATGAGTCAGACAGACCTTTAAGTGTGGATGTGAGGACACATCAAAGTCCTGAGACCATTATACCAACGACAATCACAACATCTACGACAACAAGTCAACAACAACTACGACAACAAGATGACAACAACTACGACAACAAGACGACAACAACTACGACAATAAGACGGCAACAACTACGACAATAAGACGGCAACAACTACGACAACAAGACGACAACAACTACGACAGTAAGACGACAACAACTACGACAACACAACAACTACGACAACAAGACGACAACAACTACGACGACAAGACAACAACAACTACGACAACACAACAACTACGACAACAAGACGACAACAAACTACGACAATAAGACGACAACAACTACAACAACAATAAGACAACAACAAGACAACAACACTACGACAACACAACAACTACGACAACAAGACGACAACAACTACGACAATAAGACGACAACAACTACAAACAACAAGACAACAACAAGACAACAACAACTACAACAACACAACAACTATGACAACAAGACAACACAACAACTACGACAACACAATAACAAGACAACAAGACAACACAACTACTACGACAACAACTACGATAACACAACAACTACGACAATAAGACGATAACAACTACAACAACAAGACGACAACAACTATGACAACAACTACGACAATAAGATGACAACAACTACAACAACAACAAGACAACAACAACTACGACAACAAAAACACAACTACGACAACAAGACAACAAAACAACTACGACAATAAGACGACAACAACTACGACAATATGACAACAACAACTACGACAACAAGATGACAACTACGACAACAACTACGACAATAAGACAACAACAACTACGACAAAACAACAACTATGACAACAAGAAAACACAACAACTACGACAACAAGACAACAACAACAACACAACAAGACGACAACACAAGACAACAAGACAACACAACTACTACGACAACACAACAATTACAACAATAAGACGACAACAACTACGACGACAAGACAACAACAACTACGACAACAAGACAACACAACAACTACGACAATAAGACGACAAACAATACGACAACAAATGACAACAACTATGACAATAAGACGACAACAACTACGACAAAACAACAACTATGACAACAAGAGAACACAACAACTAAGACAATAAGACGACAACAACTACGACAACAAGACGACAACAACAAGACGACAACAACTACGACATCAAGACAACACAACAACTACGACAATAAGACGACAACAACTATGACAACAACTACGACGACAAGACAACAACAACTACGACAACAAGACAACACAACAACAACGACAACAAGATGACAACAACTATGACAATAAGACGACAACAACTACGACAACAACTACCGACAATAAGACGACAACACTACGACAAAACAACAAGACAACAAGACAACACAACAACTATGACAACAAGAGAACACAACAACTAAGACAATAAGACGACAACAACTACGACAACAAGAAGACGACAACAACTACGACATCAAGACAACACAACAACTACGACAATAAGACGGCAACAACTACGACAACAAGACAACAACAACTATAACAACACAACAACTACAACAACAACTACGACAACACAACAACTAAGACAATAAGACGACAACAACTACAACAACAAGATAACAACTACGACAACAAGACAACACAACAACTACGACAATAAGACGACAACAACTATGACAACACAACTACGACAACACAACAACTACGACAACTACAACAACAAGACAACACAACAACTAAGACAATAAGACGACAACAACTACGACAACACAACAACTATGACAATAAGACGACAACAACTACGACAACAAGACAACAACAACTACGACAACACAACAACCACGACAACAACTACGACAATAAGACGACAACAACTACGACAACACAACAACTAAGACAACAACTACGACACAACAACTAAGACAATAAGACGACAACAACTACGACAACAACTACGACAACACAACAACTATGATAATAAGACGACAACAACTACGACAACAAGACGACAACAACTACGACAACACAACAACTATGATAATAAGACGACAACAACTACGACAACAAGACAACAACTACTACAAGACAACAACTACAACAACAAGACAATACAACTACTACGACAACAACTACGACAACACAACAACTACGACAATAAGACGACAACAACGACAACTACAACAACACAACTAAGACAATAAGACGACCAACAACTACAACAACAACTACGACAACACAACAACTACAACAATGAGACGACAACAACTACGACAACACAACTACTACGACAACACAAGAACTACGACAACAAGACAACACAAGAACTACGACAATAAGACGACAACAACTACGAAACAAGACAAAGTCAAAGTCAACTTTATTGTCAATTTCAAAATATGCCAGGCATACAGTGGAATCAAAATTCGTTTGTCTCCGTCCCGCGGTGCAATACAACCAATATTGACAACAAGACAACCCAACAATTACGACAATAAGACGACAACAACTATGACAACAACTACGACGACAAGACAACAACAACTACGACAACAGACAACAACTACGACAACAAGATGACAACAACTATGACAATAAGACGACAACAACTACGACAATAAGACGACAACAACTACGACAAAACAACAAGACAACACAACAACTACGACAAGAAGACGACAACAACTACGACAACAAGATGACAACAACTATGACAATAAGACGACAACAACTACGACAACAACTATGACAACAACTACGACATCAAGACAACACAACAACTACGACAACAAGACGACAACAACTACGACAACAAGACGACAACAACTACGACAATACGACGACAACAATTACAACAATAAGACAACAACAACTACGACAACAAGACAACAACAACAAGACAACAATAAAACAACAACTACGACAACAATAGAACAACAACTACGACAACAACAAAAAAAAAACAACAACAGCTACAACAACAAGACAACACAACAAGACAACACAACTACGACAAAAGACGACAACAACTACGACAATACGACGACAACACTACAACAATAAGACAACAACAACTACGACAACAAGACAACAACAACAAGACAACAATAGAACAACAACTACGACAACAACAAGACAATAAGACGACAACAACAAGACGACAACAAGACGACAACAACTACGACAATAAGACAACAACAACTACGACAACACAACAACTACAACAACAACAAGACGACAACAACTACGACAACAAGATAACAACTACGACAACAAGACAACACAACAACTACGACAATAAGACGACAACAACTACGACAATAAGACGACAACAACTACGACAATAAGACGACAACAACTACGACAACACAACAACTACGACAACAACTAAGACAATAAGACGACAACAACTACGACAACACAACAACTATGACAATAAGACGACAACAACTACGACAACATAACAACTAAGACAACAAGACTACAACAACTACGACAACAAGATGACAACAACTACGACAACACAACAACAAGACAACAACAAGACAACACAACAACTACGACAACAAGACGACACAACACCTAAGACAATAAGACGACAACAACTAAGACAACAAGACGACAACAACTACGACAATACAACAACTATGACAATAAGACGACAACAACTACGACAACAAGACAACAACTACTACGACAACACAACAACTACGACAAGACAACACAACAACTATGACAACACAACAACAAGACAACAAGACAATAACAACTACTACGACAACAACTACGACAACATAACAACTACGACAATAAGACGACAACAACTATGACAATAAGACGACAACAACACTACACACACAAACATACGACAACACAACAACTACGACAACACAACAACTACGACAACAAGACGACAACAAGACAACACAACAACTAAGACAATAAGATGACAACAACTACAACAATGAGACGACAACAACTACGACAACACAACTACTACGACAACACAACAACTACGACAACAAGACGACAACAACTACGACAACAAGACAACACAAGAACTACGACAATAAGACGACAACAACTACGACAACAAGAGAACACAAGAACTACGACAATAAGACGACAACAACTACGACAACAAGACAACACAACAACTACGACAACAC